CCTGGTTCCTGATCTGAGTGGAAATGGTTTCAATTTTACTCCATTCAACACAATATTGGCTGTGGGTTTGCTGTAGATGGCCTCTATCAGTTTAAGAAATGTTCCTTCTATACCTATTTTCTTAAACATTCTGATCAAGAAAGGATGCTGGATATTATCAAAAGCTTTTTCTGCATCAATTGAGAGGATTATATGATCTTTGTTTTTTATTTTGTTTATGTGATGTATTATATTTATAGATTTGAATATATTGAACCATCCTTGGGACCCTGGGATAAAACCCACCTGGTCATAATGGATAATTTCTTTGATGTGTTGTTGGATTCTGTTTGCTAGGATCTTATTGAATATTTTTACATCAATATTCATTAGACATTTTGGTCTATAATTTTCTTTTCTTCTTGGGTCTTTTCCTGGTTTGGGGATCAGGGTGACATTTGCTTCATACAATGTGTTGAGGAGTATCCCTTTTTTTCCTATGTTTTGGATAAGGTTAAGTAATATAGGTACTAGTGCCTCTTTAAAGGTTTGGTAGAATTCTGATGTGAAGCCATCTGGTCCTGGGCTTTTCTTTTTGGGGAGATTTCTTATAGTTGATGCTATTTCAGAACTTGATATAGACTTGTTCAACATTTCCACTTCTTTCTGACTAAGTCTAGAAAGGTGACATGTTTCCAAGTATTGGTCTATTTCCTTCAGATTTTCACCCTTCTGAGAATAGAGTTTTTGTAATATTCATTAAGGATTTTTTTTTTAACTTCTGAGGAGTCTGTTGTTATTTGGCCTTTATCATATCATTTCTTTTTTTTTTTTTTAACATTTCAATTTTTTTCTTTAAAAGGAGTGGGTTGTGTACAGGGGGGTTAAATGCTTTATAGACAAGAAAAAAACTGCGCTGGAACCAACGTATTCATCATCATCTTCATCATCTTCCTCCTCCTCTTCATCCTCTTCCTTCTTTTTCCTGCTTTTTTCAGCCTTTTTGACTCCCTTTTTCTTGCTTTTTTCAGCCTTTTGATTCCCTTTTTCACTGCATCAGGCTTTCCTTTAGCTCAGTATGCAGCAATATCCTTTTCGTATTTTTCCTTCAGCTTTGCAGCCTTCTTTTCATAAGGCTGCTTGTCATCCACAGCAGTGTTATTCCACATCTCTCCCAGCTTCTTTGCAACATCACCAATGAATAGACCGGGAAGTTCTCCTTTGATTTTTGGGTGATACTCAGAACAGAACAAGAAAAGGGCCAAAGGAGGCCTCTTGGGTGCATTGGGATCCTTGAACTTCTTTTTTGTTTCCCCTTTAAGAGGGATATAGATTTTCATTTCTCTTTCATAACGGGCCTTGTCTGCCTTTGCCATATCTTCAAATTTTCCTTTCTCTTTAGCAGGCATGGTCTTCCACCTCTCTGAGCACTTCTCAGAAAACTCTGAGAAGTTGACTGAAGCATCTGGGTGCTTCTTCTTGTGCTCCTCCCGGCAAGTTTGCACAAAGAATGCATATGATGACATTTTGCCTCTCAGCTTCTTAGGATCTCCTTTGCCCATATTTAGTTATTTTTCCTCAGCAAGGCACAGAGTCATCCAGTGCCCATCCAGCTCTCACTTGCCCTGGCGCTGTCTCTATGAAGCTCAGTGGACTGTAATGGCTGTGAGAGCAGGAGCCAGAGGCAGCCTCCTTTATCATTTCCAATTGATTAAATTAGAGATTTTACTCTTTTATTTTTGGTTAGGTTGGCCAAAGGTTTATCTATTTTATTGACCTTTTCAAAAAAACAACTTTTTGATTGATCAATCTGTTGTATAATTTTTTTGTTTTCAATTTCACTTAATTCTGTTCTAATTTTAGTTATTTCTTTTCTTCTGCTGAGTTTGGGGTTGGAATGTTCTTCCTTTTCCAGTTGCTTGAGATGTCCCATTAAGTTGTTGACTTCTTCTCTTTCCATTCTTTTGAGGAAGGCTTGCAACGCTATAAATTTCCCTCTTAGGACTGCCCTTGTGGTATCCCACAGGTGCTGGTAATTTGTGTCTTCATTATCGTTTTGTTCCCCCCCCAAAATTGGTAATTTCCTTCTTAATCTTATCTATGACCCGGCTATCATTCAACATGAGGTTATTTAGTTTCCATGATTTTGTATGAGTATGCTGATTCCTGTTGTTACTGAGTTCAACTTTTATTCCATGATGGTCTGAGAAAATACAAGGAATTACTTCTATTCTTTTAAATTTGCTAAGGTTAGACTTGTGACCTAAGATGTGATCAATTTTGGAGAATGTTCCATGGGCTGATGAGAAGCATGTGTATTCAGTTTTGTTAGGATAAAATGTTCTGTAGATGTCTTTAAACCAATACAAGTAAGGAAAGATAAGGATGGTCACTTCATATTTGTTAAGGGCAATACTCAACATGATGAGATTCAATTATTAACATTTATACACCCAACCAGAATGCACCTCAATTTATAAGAGAGACTCTAACAGACATGAGTAACTTGATTTCCTCCAGCACCATAATAGTCAGAGATTTTAACACTCCTTTGGCAGTGTTGGATAGATTCTCCAATAAGAAACTCAGCAAGAAATTTTAGACTTAAACTTAACCATTCAACAATTGGATTTAACAGACCATCATGGAATAAAAGTTGAACTCAGTAACAACAGGAATTCAGCTAGGTATGCACTTGCCTTGTGTGCTAAACTATAGAGTATGATTTCTTTTCAAGAAGCACTATTTGTCCCACCCATCCCAATAGTGAAGCCTGGGAGAACCTAGGGTTAGGGAGATACTAACCTCCCCAATGATCTTACTGTGGATTTAAATGGAAGATTTCATGTGAGCCTGCTTTATAAGCTATTAATATAAAACTCCTTATAAATGCAAGGAATCAATATTATAAGTATGATATTCCATTAAAACCATTCCATTGATAACAGAGCAACTGAGATGATAAAATTTTTATTCCACAAATTTAACTCTTCATGAGAGCCGGTGATGAGGTGTTAGGTGAAAGCTTCATAAACAATAGCAGTTCATCATCCAGACTAGCCCCAGAACATGCAACTTCACTAAGATAAAAGCCAAGCCCAGGGAGGGCTCTGCCTTCTTTTTGCTTTCTTCTTTTTGGTAGAACTTCTTTAACTGCCTCTTCTTGCCAGGATCCAAAAGGTCTTGATATAATACCACAGAGAAATGTACCTGAAAATCCAGACACCTGTGCTTAAAATTCCACAGTCACCATCCTCATTTCTTAGAGCATTATTAGCAAGTATGTAAACTTTCTTTATTATTTTAGTAAAAATCCAGATTTTAGCTATGTGGCCATGGCAAAGGCCCTCATCTTATTGGGACTTTTTCTACATGGGCCTTGGAAGAAGGCACATAAGCTAACCCTAGCACTTAAGTCCCTGCACAGATATATTGGGAGGCTGTGATAAATCCTTGGGTACAAAGCCCATCAACAAGTTCTCCCTTCCAATTCTAGGCTAAAATTTTACTGTGTGTTCCCCATTGAACCTGAATTCAACTTCTGAAAATTGGATGTGATTGTGGCAACTCTTACTTCCTTGCTCAATGGGTCAGTGTGACAGAGCTCATCTCAGAAGCACTTTGAGAGCTAGGACAGGGGACCAAACGCAACATGCTCTGCACAGAGAGCAACCTCCAACTCCAGACTGACCTTAACTCTGTATAGTTAGCTCAAAGTCAGCAATGTTGGCTCTCCCCAGTTCTTGGGTAAGAATGACTGGAAAGCCTCCTTCCGAGCTAACAGCAATGAACCAGCCAGGGAAGACCACGGACTCAAAGGTGGAGTTCCTGCCACTCTGGTTGTGGTAGAAGAGAAAGGGCTTCACAGGCTGAGGTTCCTTGTACAAATCCATTATTTTCTGTTCCTGGAGGTTGAGAAGGAAACCCCAGACAGAAACATAACTGCTTGGATTGTTTCACATTCTTTATACATCGATAATTTTTGTCCAAGATAGCATTCCCCACTCATTAAAGCAGGCCTAGAGACTTCTGCTTCATATTATAGGATAAAAACAAACCATAAACCTTGAATACTTTTATAATGTTAAGATTATGGTTGAAATCTTAGGCCACAAATTTCCATGGTTCTTAATGTAAGACTCTGAAAGAAGATGTTGATATAAAAGTTTTTGGAAATACAGCCTACAGGTTTAGCCATTACCTGTTGATTACAAATGGAGAAACTCAAAGAATAGTTACATTAAAATGTTTGTGAGTTTTACAAGTGTGCGAGGCTGAGGCAGATATTTTGCCTGAGCCCAGGAGTTCAAGAACAGCCTGAGCAAGAACAAGACCCCCATCTCTAAACAAGAAAAATAGCTGGGCATTGTGATAGGCACCTGTAGTCTCAGCTACTTGGGAGACTGAGGCAAGAGGATTGCTTGAACCCAAGAGTTTGAGGTTGCTGTGAGCTATGATACCACAGCATTCTACCAATGGCAACAAAGTGAGACTCTGTCTAAAAAAAAAAAAAAAAATGTTCATGAGTTTCAAGCCAGTTAAATGGATTAAAATAGCCTTTCATGGATTCAGAAACAGGTCTTCCCATAGATCCCAGGTTTCTCCACCCTCAGCACTATCAACATTTTAGGGAAAATAATTCTTTGTTGTCAGGGGCATCCTGTGCATTATAGGATGTTTAACAAACGCATGGAATCTACCCAATAGATGCAAGTAACACATTCCCCTATCTGCAGTTGTGACAACCAAGAATATCTCCAGAAGTTGACAAATATCTAGGAAGCAAAAACACCCTGGTTGAAAATGACTGTTTCATGACTTGGTGCCTGGTGCACAGTGGTTATGGCAGTAGCCACATACACCAAGGCTGGTGGGTTTGAACCTGGCCTGGGCCAGCTAAATAACAATGACAACTGCAACAACAACAACAACAAAATAGATAAGCATTGTGGCAGGCACCTGTAGTCCCAGCTATTTGGGAGGCTGAGGCAAGAGAATTGCTTAAGCCCAAGAGTTTGAGGTTGCTGTAAGCTGTGATGCCATGGAACTCTACCATGAGGCAACAAAGTGAGATTCTGTCTCAAAATAAATAAATAAAAGAAAATCACTGTTTCATATCTTGTCATCAAGTTAAGTGTCTGCCTATGCTTGTTTACCGAAAAGGGTCAGAGACTTCCTGGCTGCTCCCTGACCTTTGTGCAAAGCCTGTGTAATTATCTTCCTATACTTATGGTATTTTTCAATAATGGAAAATCACAATTATTAAAATGTTACAGAGAATTGTTTTTTCTTTTAAAATTGCAAACTATGTTTTGGCCAAAAGATGTTTCAGTAAGCTCATCTGTTTTGTGATAGTTAACTGCTAAAAATCTCTGCTGATTTTCCATTATATGTGTGTGTTTATATATTAGAATTAGACTCCTCCTGACAGAAGATTTTTGAAAAATAAAACAAAATTTAGCAAGATATTTTTCAAATATTTCTACAATATTTTTCTTATTCTTTCACAATACATACAACATCAACGAAATAAAAAATAAATATACCAAAGGATAATAAATCAGCTATCATTTAAAAGATTCTAAAATCTGAGTTTCCATCAAATGAACACTTTGTAAAATGAATGGGCTCCTCTTTTAGTCAGGCACTGACAGGACACATCTTCCACACTCACCTTCAGCTGCAGGGTGGGCTGCTCCTCAACCTTTGTACAAAACAGGCAGAGCTCTGGTTCCTTCAGCCCCAGGTAGATAGGGTTCCCTCTGTCTTTCTCAAGGGTCTCCTGATGCTGACATGCGATGAAGGTAACAGTGACTGGGAATATGATGTGGAAAAAGGCATTCAGGTGCTCTTTCCAAGATAGTATCTTTAAACCAGAGACAGTAATCTCCAAATCAGAGTTTTAAGGATCATCAAGGCTGAACTCTGCTGACTGTTGCTCACAGAGTGGTCACCCCTCCACCCACCACCTAACCCAAACACGTATCTCATCTTTGGCCGATTCCTTCCAGTAGAGAGTCGCCTTTCATGGATTCCCATAGACCCTAGTCTCTTGTCATAGTCTTACTGCTCAGAGTTCCACAGGAAACATCTTCCACCATTTTCCACAGGCCAACCCCTCAGACTCCCTTGAATCTTCTCTCTCTTCTCTGACTTCATGACATAGTCACAGAAAAACTCTCTGCATCCTCTCTGCTTATTATTTCCCATGAGATGCTCTTCTGTCCAGATAGGCCCAGTTAACAAGCCTACTGTGGGGTAAGAGGCATAAGACACACGACTGGCCAAAGGGGCTGCCTTCAATAGACCTTGGCTACTCACCTGAAACGGTGTGTTGCTTCCTTGGGACTGCTATAAGGGTCTGGCCTTGAAGGACCCACACCCGGTGATTGATATCCTGGATGTTTCCCTTCTGAGGGTATGTAGCTACCTACAGAAAAAGGCAAAATGCAAATGCATGAAGATGAGGACACAGATTATCCCCTTCTTACCAGTTTTTGACTCTTCCAAGAGGATCTTTACCTTTGCCTATTATGACAGTGTTGTCTCAGAACTGCCAAGAAGTGGAGTTGTGTATGTCCAGACTAACTCCAGGAGAGGACCTGAGTCAGTCCTAAGCCACAGTTTGATCTTAGGCCAGAAGAAGGGCTGAGGACTGCCCCAACAGTGATCCCAGTCAGAATATAAACTCCTAGAACTTCCCCAGCTCCCTTAGCTTTTTGGATACAGTCTACTCCCAGCAGCTGTACCTGTTCAAGCCTAGACTCAGAGCACTAATGTATGTGTAACAGAGAACAATGAGGCCCAGAAGCAAGAGAACATCAGCGGTCACCAGACTTCCTGCTATCAGCCATACCTATAACCTGTTACAAAGAACCCGTGTTCCTGATATTGTGAACTCCCGTTTCCACCACACTCAAGTGTTCTAACAGGCTTTAGCAGAGCCCAGGCCTTTTATCTACATAAGCAAACAAGGAGGTTCTACCTTGCTGAGGCTGGGACTGCCCTAGACTAGAACTTCCCAGTACTCTGGGTATTTACTGCTTCCCAGTGACTGTTGATGTAAAAGGAGCAGTTGTGTCTTACTCAAGCAACCTGAATGAGGAGGTCATGATAATCTTGTAAGAGCAACAACCAGGAAATATATTCACAGATACTGAAGGTAGAAAGATTATGGGACATCCCCGAGGCCAATGACTAATCTCTGATGCCACAAAATGACATTCGAATGTCATTCCTGAGAGTGGAAGCCCCCAGTCAGGAGCAGACTGAGAAGGGTCTCTTAAGACTTATGTAGCTTCTACCCACTCTGGGTCCACAGTCAGCCAGAGTACTCTCTGCCACTCTCTATCCAGAAACACACAATGATGCCAGTGGGCCCTCCTCTAGCTTCTCAGAGCCACTATGCAAGCTTCTTCCTCACTGAGGGAGTCACTCAACTAGACTCACTCTTGTGGCCCTGCCCCTCTTACTGTGAATCACTATCCTAGTAGAGGGTGTGATGGTGAATTGTAGGTGACAACTTGACCTGATTAAGTCAAAGACTTAAGGAATACTTGGAGAATTAGTGAAGCTTTATTTTGGTGTGTGTCTGTGAGGGTATTTCCAGAGGAATTGATGTGTGTGAGTCAGTAGACAGAGTGAGAAAGTCTGCCCTCAGTGTGGGCAGACACCATCCAATCAGCTGCAGAGTTGTATAGAAAAAAAAAAAAAGACAGGAAAAAAGATGATTTTCTATCTCTCTCCTAGAGCTGGGACACTAGCCTTTAGACTCTAGGACTTCCAGCAACAGCTCTCAGGTTCTCAGGTCATTGATCTTAGGTCTTACAACATCAGCTTCCCTGGTTGTAAGGCACTAGGACTTGGATGAGTACACCAGCAGCATCCCAAGGACTTCTTAGCCTCCACAGTTATGTGACCCAATACCCTAATACATCCCTTCTCATAGACCCTCTTCTATAGAAGAGAGTTTTCAAGAAGTTCATGGAAACTGTATATTATGAAAAAAACTATCCCTGGCCTGTACTTCAAATTTTTTTTGCACCAACATAAACTTATATTACTCATTACAACACGTCTGAACAAGATCTAATTTGAGGAACAAAGTATAAGTTATCAGTTAGAAAAAAGCCCCTTTCAGAGCAACATGAAGTCTGCCAAAACAGAAGCAAAAATAAACATCAAATGTATGGTGAAGCTTGGGTAGAAGAATGGTGGAATCATTGATATTTTATGAAAAGTTCTGGGGGACATTGCCTTAAAATTAGCAGTTTACAAAGAGATGACTCATTTTAAGAAGAGATGATATGATGTTGAAGATGAAGCCCACAGCTTCAGACCATCCACATCATTTTTTGAGGAAAAACTTAATCTTGTTCATGCCCTAATTTAAAATGAATGAAGATTAATAGTAGAAACAATAGGCAACATCATAGACATCTTGTCTGGTCCCACTTACACATTTCTGACTAAAACATAAAGTTGAGCAAACTTTTCACTCAATGAGTGCCAAAACTGTTGCACCCAGATCAGATGTAGAAAAGAATAAAGCTTTCAGGGGAAATTTTAAACAGATGAAATCAAGATCCTGAAGAATTTCTTTGAAAAATTATTATTATTTTTTTTGAGACAGGGTCTCAAGTTGTTGCTCTGGGTAGAATCCTGTGGCATCACAGCTTACAGCAACCTCAAACTCTTGGGCTTTAGCGATTCTCTTGCCTCACCCCCCCTCCCCAAATAGCTGGGACTACAGGCACATGCCACAATGCCTGGCTATTTGTTGTTGTTGCAGTTGTCATTTTTGTTTTAGCTGGCCCTGGCCAGATTTGAACCCACCAGCCTTAGTGTATGTGGCTGGCGCCCTACCCACCAAACTACAGGCACCACCCTCTTTGAAAACTTCTAGCAGAAAATGGAACATAGCTTTACCAGTATGGCCCTGAAACAAACATAATCAAAAGCAATGCTACCAAGAGGTGGAAGTGTTGGATAGGGACCAAATCTACAGATGGTAGATATAGGCAGGGAGGGCAATACCTTGGGGTAAACAAGCTGGGGACCAATGGGGGAAGGGAAAATGGCAGGTTTCTGCAGGAAAATGCAGAACACCTGCCAATCATTTGGTAACATTCCCACCTCCATAAGCCCACCCCCAGACAAGGCCAATAAAAGGAAACCACCTGTGAGTCCTTAGTATTTTTCTCCATTCATGGAGACTAATCCATTCCTCTCTCTGGGACATACTTTCACTTTGTATTGCTTCTTTCTTTTCTGCAATAAAAGCTGTTTGTGTGGAATTGCTCCCTGTTTGCAATCTGGAGAACTGGCCTTGTTTGTGATTCTTCCAAGCAAGGACCCAAAGAACCAGGACAATAGTCAGCCAAGAGGCCAGGCCTGACAGAAGTGGTCAAGTCAAAGCAAAAGTAGACTAGTCAACAGCAAAATCACAGCAACAGTTTTTTGAGGATGCTCAAAGCATTTTGCTCGTTCACTTGCTGCTGGAGGGCCAAAGAACAATAGCAACTTCTTCTAAAGAGAGTGTTTGGAGAAAGTTAATGAAAGTTTAGCAAAAAAGTGCCTAGGGAAGCTTTACCTAGAGTCTTTCTCTGCTAAGACAATTCTCCTGCTTATTCCTCACATCAAACAAGGGCAATTTTGCAAGTTTCCATGAGAAACCATTAAGCATCCACTGTGTCATGATTTGGCTCCTTCTATCTTCTTTTTGTCTTCTAATTTAAAAAATCTTTAAAGGATATCCATTTTTCTCAGTCAATAAGGTAAAAACAGTTTGCATTGACATGGTTAAATTCCAAGGACCCTCAGTTCTATAGGGGTGGACTAAATACATGGTATCATCCCTTACAAAAGTGTTTTGAAATTGATAAGGCTTACATTGAGAAATAGTTTATATTCTTTATCTTTATCTTTTAATTCTATTTTATACAAAGTTTTTGAAGTCTTCTTGTATACCTATCCATATGCAGTCATCCCTCAGTAATGGAGGGAGATTAGCTCCCCACCCCTGTGCATAACAAAAGTCACAGATGCTCAAGACATGCAGTCCGCCCTGCAGAGCCCATGTATACAAAACTAGACCTTGTGCATGTGTGGGTTCCACAACCCACATATATATATGGTATTTTTAATCCATGGTTGGTTAAACCCACAAAAGACTGACGTGTGTGTGTGTGTGTGTGTGTGTACAAATATATATCCTATCCCACATATCCATATAACAGTGAGGACAGGAGCCTGGAGGCAGGATGCCCCAGTGCAGTGAGCTTTCCGTGTCTAACATTAGGTCCTCCACAAATGAAAGCTGAGGCCAGGCTTTATCTCATACCTTCAGCCCACCTGAGTTCACAGCTACTGTGGCAGATCCTAGAACATGTCAGCTTCACATCTTAGGGGATTACATCTCAGGGGCTACTCAGTTGATTGGGAAAGAGATTGGTGGCTAGATGTCCCAGCTTCCTTATCCTCTGGTGGAACAATACAAAGATTTCTCAGAGAGTCCCAAGTGGAATCTAGCCCGAGTTGCCCATAACCATAACCAGCTCATTAGGATTCCCTTTATTGGCTTTCCTGGGATATCTCTTAAATAAGCTCCCTGCACTCTGAATCAGCTTTGGAAAGAACCCAAAATAAGGTAATACTTCAGCGTTCAAAAGCAAGAGATTTGTATTCAAAAGCTATGAATTCAGAATTAAGCTTTGCAACTTTCAGAATTGTGCATTTGGCAAAATCCTATCACATCCCTGATCCTCAGATGACTTTATACTAAATACATCATACCTTGTGGGCTAAAGAAGAGTGTGCAAAGCTCTTCTTATGTGACAGCTTCCTAGAGCAGCTGGCCTAATACATCCCCTATGTCTGTTACCAGGCCCCAGATCAACCTGTTTATCTCTGCCAGCATTTTTGCCATGACCACCAGTAGATCATCCCAAATCTTAATCTTTGTGCCACCTTCTCAGTAGTCTCCTTGGCCGCATGAGGATTCCTGCCTGTTCACATTCTGTCCCCTTCCTGGGTATCCTTACTGCATAGCAGGATATAAAAGGCCATTAGGATCTTATCCCAGGTAGCCCCACATCAATCCTTTAGGAGCATGGAATCATTAAGACCCCACTTTTTAAAATGCAGCAGGCATCACTGTATAAAAAGTAGGATTCATATTCAAGGTGAGTCAGTCTATGTCAGTCTAAGTCAGAAAAGGAGCTGTCCCACTTATCCATTAAGATGAAATATCTTCTATACACAAAAAATAAATTTCAGAGCTATGACATCACCTACAGAGGACTGTATCCACTTGGAGTCCTTGACAGGGGAAGCCCAGGGTCCTTCTCTGAGGTGCAAAGGAGCAAACAGCAAGAACCCATACCGCCCAAGGTGATCTACAACTTCAATACAACCCCTATCAAAATACCAACATCATTTTTCAGTTTTAGAAGATATAATTCTATGCTTTGTTTGGAACCATAAAAGAGCCCAAACAACCAAAGCAATCCTAAGCAAAAAGAACAAATCTGAAGGCATCACATTACCAGACCTCAAACTATACTACAGGCTACAGTAACCAACACAGCATGGCATTCACACCTAGAGACATGGACCAACCATAGAGGACAGAGACCCAATATGGAAACAATCTACATGTGGCCAACTTTCTTTGACAAAATAAACAACAACATAGAGAAACTGGAGAAAAGAATCCCTATTCATTAAATGATGCTGGTAATATTGTATAGCCACATCTAGAAGAATAAAATAGGACCCTTATCTCTCACTATGCACAAAGGAGGGTCACTTTCCTGATCTATGGCCTCTAGCATATTGTCAAAATTGATAGCCACAATTGCTTAAAACAGAAAGCTTGTGATTAACAAAGAAAAACTATCTTAAATTCAAATATTAAGGGGAGGCAGAGGCAAGATGGCCTGGAGCTAGCTTACCACAGAGGTTCCCATCCAGAAGGAGAGTTAAAGGACAGAAGTTTAGCAGGTAAGCTGATGATTTGCAGCTGAGCCAAGAGAGAAGGTTGGAGAACACACATCAAACCTGCTGAGGCAAGCTGCAACCCCAAGGTAAGAAACTATAGGTACAAAATCCATCGCCAAGTGGACAGAAGTCTCTTCCCCCATGAGAACAGCTCACAGTATACTTTAAACAAACAAGCAAGCAGAGTTCAGATCTCCTTCTATATTATCCCATGAAAAAGACCCTCTAAAAACTGGAACTCCTTCTCCAGGGAGGACCCACTAGTGTGCCATGGCACTCTCCCACTAGGCATAAAATATATACCTGCATAAAATTGCAGGTATATATTCTCTACCTGCAATTCCAAACTCCCAGCACTATCCCCCACTCTTACCCCAATGTCTGGAAGACCGTTCACCCTGGAGTTCAGATTCTTGGGCATTTTCTCAAGAGGTGTGGGCAAGGCATGAGCTGTTGCTGGTCTGTGCTGATTCTGTGACATGGGTATAAAGAGACAACTGTGGACCAAGAGGGAGAGGGAGAAGCAGTGCCCCGTGGCTCAGAGCAGCAGTGGCAGGGGTGGGAACAATAGGGCTCACACCCATTGAGATATTTTGGGGAGACACTCCCTGCCTCCCTTGGCAATCAGAGAAAGCCAGATCTCTATTCTGGTGACAGGCACTAGCAGAACAAATCTAGGACGGAAATGCAGGCCTGGTGAGGCAATACTTGCCCAGGTGGGGCACAGCAGGGATAGAGACTAGAATACACATGCACAGAGATGGCACACTCCCAGGGCTGGGATGAGTCAGAAGTGCTGCTTTAGTGAGCCTAAGAAACACCTGGCCCCCAGGGGAACATAGCTGAGACCAAGCAGGCAGGGCAACAGCACCAGCCCAGGGAGAGATAAGAACTGAGAGCTGAGTGTAAGCTCTAACTGTGCCCGCCCAATACAGAGTGCAGCAGAGACAGATATGCTACTTCTGTGGAACTGGTGCAAGGGCAGCAGCACAGGTTAGGGCTGAGTCACAGCTTCTGTGAACTCAAACAGCACCTCACCTACAGGGGAATATAGTTGGGACAGAAAGGCTAATTCTGTGCAGTTTTTGGCCAGGGCTGGGTTTGAACCCACCACCTCTGGCATATGGGGCCAGTGCCCAACTCCTTTGATCCACAGGCACCTTCCACATTCCTTAAACTGATAGAGGCAATCTATAGCAAACCCACAGCCAATATCATATTGAATAGAGTTAAATTGAAATCATTTCCACTCAGATCCGGGACCAGGCAAGATTGCCCATTGTCTCCACTACTTTGCAACATTGTAATGGAAGTATTAGCCATCACAATTAACAAGAAAAGGTGATCAAGGGTATTCATATAGGGTCAGAGGAGATCAAACTTTCACTCTTCACAGATGATATGATTGTATATCTGGAAAACACCAGGTATTCTACTACAAAACTCTTAGAAGTGATGAAGGAGTACAGCAGTATCTCAGGTTACAAAATCAATACTCATAGATCTATAGCCTTTATATATACCAACAATAGTCAAGCTGAAAAAACAGGCAAGGACTCTATTTCTTTCACAGTAGTGCCAAAGAAGATGAAATATTTGGGAGTTTACCTAACAAAGGACGTGAAAGATCTCTACAAAGAGAACTATGAAACTCTAAGAAAAGAAATAGCTGAAGATATTAACAAATGGAAAAACATACCATGCTCATGGCTGGGAAGAATTAACATTTTTAAAATGTCCATATTACCCAAAGAAATATATAATTTTAATGCAATCCTATTAAAGCTCCACTGTCATACTTCAAAGATCTCAAAAATATAATACTTCGTTTTATATGGAATCAGAAAAAGACCTCAAATAGCCAAGACATTACTCAGAAATAAAAAGAAAGCAGAAGGAATCACACTACCAGACCTCAGATTATACTATAAATTGATAGTGATCAAAACAGCATGGTACTGGCACAAAAACAGAAAAGTAGATATACGGAACAGAATAGAGAACCAAGAGATGAACCCAGCTACTGACCATTATTTGATCTTAGATAAGCCAGTTTAAACCATTCAGTGGAGAAAAAATTCCCTATTTAACAAATGGTGCTGGGTGAACTGGCTAGCGACCTGCAGAAGACTGAAACTGGACCCACACATTTCACCATTAACTAAGATAGACTCTCACTGGATTAAAGATTTAAACTTAAAGATGTGAAACTATACAAATACTAGAAGAAAGTTCAAGGAAAACACTGGAAGAAATTGGCCTGGGCAAATATTTTATGAGGAAGACCCCCTGGGCAATTGAAGCAACACCAAAAATACATTATTGGGATTTGATTAAACTAAAATGCTTCTACAACCACATCAGATTGTATTAAAAAAATCAACACATTGTACCCCACATATGCATATATGTATTCATGATCTATGTATATTTGACTTAATTTTAAAAAAGAAAAGAAAAGAAAAAGTAAAAGCTTCTGCACAGCCAAAAATACAGTATGTAAAGCAAGCAGACAGCCCTCAGAATGGGAGAGGATATTTTCAGGCTGTCTCCAACAAAGGTTTAGTAACCAGAATCCACAGGGAACTCAAACGTATTAGCAAGAAAAGAACAAGTGATCCCATCTCAGGTGGGCAAGGGACTTGAAGAGAAATTTCACTAAAGAAGTCAAGTGCACGTCCTATAGACACATAAGAAAATGCTCATCATCCTTAATCACCAGAGAAATGTAAACCAAAACCACTTTGAGATATCATCTAACCCAGTAGGATTAGCCCACATCACAAAAACCTAAAACCAGAGATGTTGGCGTGGATGTAGACAAAAGGGAACACTTCTGCATTGCTGGTGGGAATGCAAACTAATACATTCCTTTTGGAAAGATGTTTGGAGATCACTTAGGGATCTAAAAATAGACCTGCCATTCAATCCTTCAAGTCATCTACTAGGTATATTTCCAGAAGACCAAAGTCACTTTATAACAAAGATATTTGCACCAGAATGTTTATTGCAGTCCAATTAATAATTGCTAAGTCACGGAAGAAGCCCAGGTGATAATTGACCCATGAATGGATTAATAAATTGTGATATATGTACACCATGGAACATTATGCAGCCTTAAAAAAGATGGAGACTTTACCTCTTTTATATTTACATAAATGAAGCTAGAACATATTCTTCTTAGCAAAGTATCTCAAGAATGGAAGAAAAAGTATCCAATGTACTCAGCCCTACTATGAAACCAATTTGTAGCTTTCATAGCAAAGCTATAACCCAACTATAGCCCAAGAAGAAGGGGAAAGAGGAGAGGGGGAAGGATGGATGGAGGGTGGGTAATTGGTGAGACTACACCTAGGATGCATTTTATAAGGGCACATGTTAAATTTACTGAGTGTAGAGTATAAATGTCTTAATACAATAACTAAGAAAACAACATGAAGGCTATGTTAACAAGATTGATGAAAATATTTCAAATGGTATATAAAACCAGCACATTGTACCCCATGATTGCATTAATGTACACAGCTATGATTTAATAAAAAAAATTCAAATATTAAGGGGTAGACAACTGATGCACTTAAAAACATTCATTCATTCAAAGACCCTGAACACAGCTTGAGTTTTCCAAATAATAAAATATATGTATTTCATCAGTTTTCTTAACTCTAATCTTTCCATTTCAAAAAACAGAAGCTTCATCGAAATGTAGCCTATTTTTCTCAGGCCTCACCAAGTCACTAGGAAGGGGTCACACTAACAATAACGACCCATTTATTCTATAAGTAGGCTCACACAAATGTATGCAGGGGGTGTGGTTCACCACGATAGCGCTGAGGAGAACTGGTCTTTCTATAACCACGCTGCCACCTCCCTGCGGTGGATGGCACATGCCTATCTCTCTTGTAGTTTGCAAACTATACATGGTTTCCAACCCACATGATAGAGGGAGATTCTAGAGTGTTAAAGGAAAAGCCTGTACGTGAGCTCTTGCCTCATGGCCTCTTATGTACTTAGCTAAATGTTATACCTTCTCTACATCACGTAGCCCAGCCTATACAGAGTCATTATTTTTTTATTAAGCTTTACCAGAATTATACTTGTGCATAATTTAAAAAGTCAATGAATAATGCAGGTCTTGTTATGAAACAGAATAATCACTATTTCCTGCTGCTCAGAGACAATCACTCTTAACTCTTTTAATTGATTGTTTCTGATGATTCCATCCACATTTCTAAATACTATAAGTGTGTTGCTATTTCTTGATTTTTCACTTTTAGCTACCATGTATGAATATCTTTCTGTGAAAGATAGTTTTAGTGCTTTTATACACAACTCAACTAGCTCCCTAACTAAACACATACATATGCACATATACATGTCCTATACATCCTCCCAAAATATTTACATCCTAAGTTTGATTGGTCATCATACAGAGCTTACATTATCATTATCATTATTATTACAATATAAACATTCATAACAGTTGGGCCATATGGTCAATTATGATTATATTTCTTTTTCTTTTTCTTTTTTTTGAGACAGAGTCTCAAGCTATTCCCCTGGGTAGAGTGGCCAAAGCATCACAGCTCACAGCAACCTCCAACTCATGGGGTCAAGCAAGTCTCCGCCTCTGCCTCCCAAGTAGCTAAGACTACAGGCGCCTGACGCCTGGCTTTTTTTTTTTGGTTGCAGCCATCATTGTTGTTTGGCAGGCCCAGGCTGGATTCGAACCTGCCACCTTAGGTTTATGTGGCTGGCGCCTTAACCACTTGAGCCATAGGCACTGAGCCATATTTCTTTTTCTTAATAACTTAATGTTTTCTCTGGAATTAAGAACTGCCTTATTTTGATTTTTTGTAGGTTTTTCTTATTTTAGAGCTTATATAGGTCACTATGCAAGTTTTGAGACAGACTGTGTTATAGTCCATCATTTTACTTTGAAGAAACAGAGTCAACAGCATTCTTTCTGATTCACCTGTGCAAGTTTCAACATGCTTGGCTTATTGGTATTGCCAGGAAGGCTTCATTTGTTTCCATCTGTGGGGATTTTACGTTGATTTTTGTGTATCTTAAAACTTTCATAATGATCCATGTAACATCCCCCTAATTTTCCCCACTGTCAGAGTCTCCTCTAGACTCATTCAAACCCATCAGGCACACTGTACACTTGACTTTCTTGACCCCTCTAAGCTCCAACAACTTCATTCTGCCTGGTTGTCTCCTGGGATCATACTTAATTGATAGATTGGCCTAGATACGAAATTCCACATTGGAAATCATTTTCCCTCACAAAGTAGACAGCATTTCTCCATTGACTTCTGACTTACTGTTTTTCTGCAGAGATTTGCAAAGCCATTGTAGCTTTTTGAATGTGACCAGTTTTTAGACTATGCTCTATGGCAGTTTTTAGAATCTTCTTTT